TAAATTCAGGCCAATTGATTTAACATATCATAGCGACTAATTTTCATGATCTCCTCTGTTCATCTTCATCCTAGAAATAAGTTTGAGATTTGTGAGAAGAACTCAAAACTGATAGGTCCCTTAATTTCACAGTTGACAACACGAGAAAGAGGACCATTTTTATCATTTTTAATCCAAATGAAACGAACTACTTTCCGTTTTCTCTGAGCGAAGAAACTACATACCGAAATTTTCATCTACGAACTTCTTTTCCTTTCTTCCTGTGCAGCGGCAACGACCAACAAATTAACCGCAACAAATAGCCTCAACTACATGAGTATCACCCCTAACTATACCCCCTTCTTTGTATGCACTGGTACAGGCGGTGCCTACTGACGCAATGTTCGACTGCATGCTGAAATTCTTTAAATATGAAGTACAAAATTAGAGAAGTTTACGAAATTTTGTCAACGACGTATTCCAAGCTGGTTCTCATTCGCTTTAAACAAAAAGTGACATTTGCCATTTGACTACACGTCGAGCATCTCATGGAATTCATGTTTTCTAAGGTAGCAGAAATCATGTAGCTACTTCTGAATACTAATAGATTTGGGCGTATCCTGAGATACTGAATTATTTTATTCCGACGTTTCAGCTTCTGGCGCAGAGGCTATCAGTGCAAATTTTTTTCACAACACAAGGAGACAGTGTACAGTAAAATAGTAAAGTACAGACAAATTACAAAACAACCGCATTTTAAAAGTCGAACAAGCATATGTTAAAAGTAGCCTTACGGAGGCGATCAACTGTACTTTGAAACTGGAGCAAGTAAGGAAGTCGTGAAAATTGCTGAAAAACATTTTCTGTTTTGACTGTACTATAGATTTCCAAGATGAACATATATCACTGGGTTTGGCATATTTGCAGCGTATCAAAATTAATAAGTGACGTGTCTTTTAAACTAAGTGAGTTTGCGCGTTGATTGACATTTCGGCCGCGACTGATCTTCCTGGCAAAGCTGGCTCAAAGTGCTGCAACGCCCGGCTGAAAGCACGAAGAGCCTATGATAAATAATTGAGCAAAACTTGACTAAAAGTCAAATCGTTTGGCACTGTCACAAAGGCTACCAAAAAGAACGCAAATATATGAACTTGTGTTTAATTCTAAATAGTAAATTGAGTAGTGAATGGAACTAAGTGCCAAGAAAAACAATAATTTTTCAACTGATTTTTCTACTAAATGCATATAATTTAAGTAAAAAAGGATTTTAATCCACGGGTATAAGTCTAATGACTACCAATGACTAACCGACCGAAATTCTCAGAACAACATCAGAATAAAAACTTGCTATAGCCATAGTGATCCATTCCATTATGCAAAATGGGTTCCATCCATCAAGTCTCTCCAGAACTACGTTGAGTCTAAGCCTTCCAGAGTACGTCGATCAATGACTATTAGACGTACCGACACCATAGAAAAGGACAAATATGCCACATGCCACAACGACGGTATTGGAAGAAACAATAGCAATTATCATCCCTGGGAATGCGGGCAACTTGATATGCAGCCTGAAGCATAAACGACGTCTCAATTGAGATGCTACGGCATGTCAATATGCTCGAAACAGACAATTGGATGACGGTAAGGATTTTGTAAAACTGAACTATACAAAACGGTTGGACCAATGGTACGCATTTCATTATCCGAAACAAATTATATACCACGGAAACTTCCATCCGCAGGAACCTTCAAGACCTTAAAGCACAGCCCAAACACCTTGAAGTATGGCAGTTTGCTCGCGTACTATCTCATTTAAAGCACGAAGAAACTCGATTGTCTACACACTGTATTGTTAGCAGGCACTTAATTCAGCCAAAATCGAATGCGGAAAATTTGAAAAGAACACTGCCACAACTGGATTACTGAACGACGTACAAATGCGCTGAGATCAGTTGACGCGCAGTCGTTTTGGCCTAACAGTTTCGTCGTCAGTAAAGCGTATTTTTGAATACGCCCAATAATTTGAGGCCTTATCAAAGCAGGATTGATTTTAATATTGGTGATGAATTAGATTCATGAATATTTATTAACGTTCACTCTAGCAGAATTGCATTTCACTCCATCGTGCGAGAAGTTCTCCACCTATCCTCAACTTTATCTAGAAGTCTAGTCGCTTCGTCTACTCTACGCCCGCGAAAGGCACGTTGCTTAAAGCCATTGGCGCTCCGTAGCGTGCTATCATGTTACTGTTTTTACAATGCACAATTCCCCCATTAGAAGCGTCGTAAATGTGAAATATAAGGTATATATAGACTTACAGCAAAGAGCTATATTATCGACAGAGTGAAATGGTGTATTTGGTATTGCACTAGTTATGCAAATGTATTAAGTGCAGTATAAATGTTCTAAGCATACTTCATATATAATATAAGAAGCGATCGTTAATTTTTTAAAATGATTTCATCTTGAATAATTCTTCATTCATATTCAAGGGT